CGGCTGTCGCTGGGAAACCCCGGAAGTGAGGGCAGGAGGTAGGCGGGAAGAAGCCGCGCCAGGCCGGGCGCATGGGGGGGGCAGGGGAGGCGCCCGCGCGCCGCGCCAGGCCGGGCGCATGGGAGGGGCAGGGCAGGCGCATGCGCCTGGGATCCTCCGCGCACGCGCAGATCGGTGCCGTGACGCGCGTTGCCACAGAACGGTTGGAACGGCGCGGGAGGCTGTTATGTGCGGCCGGAGTGTCCCAGCAGATTTGCGTCGCAGACTGGGAAGCTGGCAGGTCACTGTCTCCGCGGGATCAAGGGGATGGGGACTCCCTACAAGGGTCAGGACCTCTGTGTCCCCTCCCAGGCAGGGTCAGGAGACTGCGAGGTTGGGGGGTTGTATCCGGGAAACTGAATGGCGACGAGTTGGACCGACATAGGAAATGGATCTTTTTTTTTTTTTTGGAGAGATTTTTGCTACTGGGCGTGTGTGCCCGCCGGAGAGGCAGAGACAGAAAGTGAGAACCACGATCCCTTCTCCATTCTCCTATCGGGATTTGGGGCACACGCACAGGCACCTGGCGTGGGTTTAAAACCTCCCGGTCCAGGGGGACTTGAACCTCGGTTGACTACGTTGAAGTCCAGCGACGTAACCATTAGGCCATCTGCTGGTCCCAGGACCTGGATCTCTTTAGATTTCGAAAGTTCCTCCGGCTGCGCGGTGTGTTTGGCTGATCCTTCGCTTTGGTAAGGAAGACTCACCCAAGCCACCTGCTCACCGGTCTAAGGACGGCAGGCCTGGCGCCTCCTTCAAAGGTGCAAATTACGTTGCTGCTAGATCGATAGAGCCAACACGTGCTAATTGTGGGGAAGGATAACCGGAAGCAGCAAACGGTAGAGAAACGTGGACTTTGGACGTCTGACTTCTTGAGATTGACACCCTTAAGGCTTGGTTGGCCATCCGCAGTCCTTCCCTATGCAAATAGTTGCGCGTTTTAGATTCCTTTTTTTTTTTTTAAGTTTTTGCTGTAAGGCTGGTGCACTGGCCAGTGAGGGTGAGTAATCACCCTCCAGGGAGCTGGCCATGGTGCAATGCCTTCTCCATTCTCCTCTCTGGAATTTGGGCATCATACCCTGCTGTGTTTTTTGTTTTCGGAGAGGTTTTTGGTATAGGGTGCATGGGCTCACCAGAAAGAGACAGCGAGAAATCACTCCTGGTGGGGATGGCCACGCTGCAGTCCCTTCTCCATTCTCCTCTCGGGATCTTGGGCACTCACACACATGTGCTGGGTGTGAGTTTAAGTCACTGGGTCTGGGACTTGAACCGTGGTCAACTACATGGGAGTCCAGCGACATAGCCATTACGCTATCTGCTGGTCCCTCCCTGCATGTTTTTCAATCTGCTTGTTCCTGGAGTCGAACTGCCAGACTGCGCTGTTGGCAAAGTGGGATCCAATCGCTTTCACCACCTCCATCACCACGCCATCGGCTGATCCAGCTTCATTTCTCTCGTTACAGAATTTTTCCATCGGATACTCAGGAGTTCTACAGACTCTGTGCAAAAATGTGTCATGACTTTCTGACAACCCAATATTTTAGGTTTTGCAGGCCAGCAGGCAAAAATCCAGGATCTGATTTGGGTACTTATATAAGCAGAGAGAAAACGGTCCATAAAATTATTGGTGAAATTAAAAATAGAATGAAGATAGGGTTTTTTTTTAAATAATTATTTATTTCCATTTGTTATCGTTAGTTTTTTTTTTGTTTGCTTTTTTTTTTGACGAGAGAGAGAAAGGGAAAGTGTTTGCTTTTTTTTTTTTGACGAGAGAGAGAAAGGGAAAGTGAGAAAGCAAGCCACCAGGTCTGGGACTTGAACCATGGTTAGCCATGTGGGAATCTAGCACCCTTATCCACCACATCACCTGCTAGCCCTGAAGATAGGTTATTATTTTTTTAATTATTTTATTAATTTGATCAGAGAGGAACAGAATGAGAGCAAGGGGTGGAAGGGTGAGAATGCAAGCTGCCAGGTCTGGGACTTGAACTGTGGTTGGCCATGTGGGCTTAGAGCTCTAAGCCATCATGCCACCTGCCAGCCCCATTATTGATTTTTTAATGTTTTTGCCATAGGGTACATGTGCTCGCCAGAGAAAGGCAGAGACAGTGAGAGGGAAAGTGAGAAATCGTCTCCCAGAGGGGGTGGCCATGCTGCAATACCTTATCCTCTATCCTTCTGGGATTTTGAACACACATGCACGTGTGCCTGGAGTGATTTTCAAGCCTCCAGGTCTGGGACTCGAACTACATCAGCCATGTGGGAGTCCAGCGCCTTAACCTACATACCACCTGCCGGCCCCTGAAAATAGGTCTTTAACTATGAATGTAGATCTGGCCCCATGGCCTGGTGATTAAGTAAGCTGGATCCCTACATGGCCAGCTGGACTTCCACGGTTCAAATCCTTGAAAAACACACCAAATGCGTGTGTATGCGGTTCAATTTCTTATATTTTCCTTCTAGAGATAAGGATGTATTCACAAACATATTTACATCATTTCATTCAATGATTTATTTTGGAAAGTGTTCGTTCTGTACAGGGACCTCCCCCATTCTGCATAGCACAGCTACTTCTTATCTTTTTTTTTTTTTTTTGCTTTAACATTTCCTGAACATTTAAAAAAATACCATGGTTTGGGAACCAGCAGGTGGCCTGGTGGTTAAGGTGCTGGACACTCCACATGGCCGACTATGGTTTGAGTCCTGGCGGCTTGCTTTGTCACTTTCCCTCCCTCTCTCTGTGTCTCTCTAAAATAAATGAATGAATGAATTAAATAATTCTAAAAATAATTTTTATTTGTTTCCTTATTCCTTTTTAATTTGAACAAAGAGAAGGAAAGGGAGACAGTAAACCACCAAGGCCAGGACTCAAACTGTGGTCAGCCATGTGGAAATTCAGTGCCTTAACGACCGTGCCACCTATCAGCCCTGAACATTTTCAACACGTTAAAAAACATACAGATGATAAAAATTATTTAAAATGGAGGGACCAGCAGTTGACGTAATGGCTATGTC